GCACCTTTGCGAAGAGGAGTGGCTTCTTGTACCACGGCAGGTTTTTGAAGTCGTACTCGGGGCCACTGAACAGCGTGTCAAAAGCCCAGTCCTCTGTCCCGAGGAAGACCATCGTGGCCGAGCCCACGCCTTTGGGGAAGTAGGACCTATGCTCCGTAGTGTTTGGCACCACGAAAGAGACATCGTGGCCATGCTCGAGCAGGCCCTCGATCAGCGGGACGACGGTGAGGTGGTGGCTCCTCATCATGCCGCCAAAGACCGCGACGTGCTTGCCCGCTGCGGCCAGCGCCAAAACGCTGAACATCGTCAAGCAGTAGAGAGGGCCGGGCGCAGCCATTGTGATCAGGGCGAGTGATCAGGCGAGGCCAACGCGAGCGAGTCGTCCCGCGCAAGGCGCGATAGACAGATATTTTCTTCTCTTTAACACGGCTGTGAACAGTGAAGTCGCTGGGACGACGCGGTTTTTTATCAGCCCACTCTTTCCTTTGCACCTGATGCTACAGGGGGCCGCTGGCAGCGAAATGACATCTCCCCGTGGGAGGGAGCCCATCGCACCACCAGGTGGAAGAGAAGAAGGTAGTAGCAAGGTGCACCGGATAAATAAAGCACGCGTCACGTACACAACAGCAACTCACTGACCCAGCTCTATGCATAGCTCGCAGAATCAGAAGGGGTGAACACACGTCGCACAAACGAATTAATCAGTGACTCATTCCGGGGCCGTATACCAGGTGCGCCCGCGGCGCGCTCTCGGCGAAATTAGCCATTCTACACGCTCTCCGTGACGTATTTTTGCGTCATTCGTAATGATGTGGTGTCCGTCTCTCCCCCGTGTGTCTGACCGAGCTTCTCGGAAGCTACGCCGCCTCCGGCGGCGCTAGAGGGGGGGGGGCCCATGACCCCGGCAAGCCAGTGAGGACCGGGGAAGCCTCGACCAAAGGCGCCCAACTTTAATCAGTGACTCATTCCGGGGCCGTATACCAGGTGCGCCCGCGGCGCGCTCTCGGCGAAATTAGCCATTCTACACGCTCTCCGTGACGTATTTTTGCGTCATTCGTAATGATGTGGTGTCCGTCTCTCCCCACGTGTGTCTGACCGAGCTTCTCGGAAGCTACGCCGCCTCCGGCGGCGCTAGAGGGGGGGGGGGCCATGACCCCGGCAAGCCAGTGAGGACCGGGGAAGCCTCGACCAAAGGCGCCCAACTTTAATCAGTGACTCATTCCGGGGCCGTATACCAGGTGCGCCCGCGGCGCGCTCTCGGCGAAATTAGCCATTCTACTCGCTCTCCGTGACGTATTTTTGCGTCATTCGTAATGATGTGGTGTCCGTCTCTCCCCCGTGTGTCTGACCGAGCTTCTCGGAAGCTACACCGCCTCCG